CACTTAAGCAATGGTTGAGCAATGCATAACCTGTAAAATGTGTAAGGAAGGTTTAAGTTGCCGCAGTAATCAGAGTGAGTAGTTCCCACAGGAGCAAGCCAAAAAATATTGGATTAATGGAATGGACCTAACACTTCATCACAATATACTTTCCTCATCAGTACCTTTACATAAATGTAAGGAGTGTTTAGCTGCAGCCAGGCTATTGAGATGTATCGAGTTACCTCAGCCCAAACAATGAACTTAGATTTTTTTGTCACATCCCCCTTTCGTTTTCTAAAGACTCCTGTCGCTGCTGATAATAAAGCAGTGAGTCAAAGGTAAGAGGGAAAAGAGGAAGCAAAGGTAATACATAGGTAAAAGTGAGGGGAAGAAAGGGGGGTTTATGGTTGTGTTTGGGACTGAAAGGAATGCAAAGTCACAGCAAGCAGAGGCTGGGGGGGAGGGACGGAGCTCAATGAGCACTGCTTAGAGGGCTAGAATATTTCTTAATTTCTGTGTGAATCAACAGCTCAGCATCCATCCCTTTGTTAGCAAATCCATGAGAGAGACAGAAAAGTGGGTCATGGTCAGAAAATTTGCCATCGCACTGTATGTTCATACAGTAAGAGCATTGAGGAGGTTCTACGTTGGGGCTCATGTAAAGAATGCCAGAAAAAGGCACATATCCAACCTCTGTTATGTGATTCTTTCAAAAGGCATAACCTTCAGAATCTCTGACTCAGCATAATGATATTTTTTGTGAAGACCAAACATCTTGTTAGTAAGCGAGGAAGAATATTAGCGTACATCACAGAGTCAGGCTGAGTCCTTGGTTCCCACTGCTGACACAGAGACAGACAGAGTAGCAATGCAGTGCAGAGGAATGTTAACAGACAGACAAAGAGTGGTGGCATGCTCAACTAGGGGCTTTCGACCAGGCAAGTTGCTTGTTTACATCTATGTGACCTGCCTGCAGTTGTGCTTTTGGTAAACTGACCCCGGGTGTGTCTTTTACAGTAAGCAGCGCTAAACCAGAGCACAATGGATGCATGAATCCACAGATATACTTTATTTACAGACAGACAGATTGGTCAGAATAGGACAAGAGAGAACGGTAAATGAGGTGAGACATTGTTCTCTGGAATGTTGGGGAAAATAGCCCTGGAAAATGGACGACATGTTAAAACATGTTCGGTGGTGCTGATTATGGCATGATGGGCAATTTTGCTCATGAACTCCGTGAAGTTGCTAACCTGACTACACCAGAGGGCTTGTTACACAGAATGAAATCTGAAGTTGTTGTAAAGGGAAAAGGGCAGGCACTTTCAAAAAATACTGATTGGATGAACCATCTGTATGTAAGTCCATTGGGCGAACTTCAACCAAACGTAGTCAAACTCTCACAGTGAAAACATATTTTCGATCGAGTAAAGCTTCCAGTGCTCCAGTGTCTTTTTTCAATTAAGATATTGTTATGGTTTTAGATCATTCTACTGCACTTCCTGCTCTTGCGTGTTTCCTGCCAATTTTGATTGTTTGACCCGCCTTAACTGTGTTTACCTATGTCTAATTAGTCACCTTTACCGCAGTGTATATAGTCTGTGTGTCTTTCTGTGTGCCAGTTTGTCTTTGTTCCTTGTGTCAAGCGTCCCAGCAATTCCCAGTGTGTTGTGTTGACAGGATTCTGCCTATTTATGGACTGTATTGACTCATTGACATTGCCTGTGCCCTTTGGATCTGTTTGCTTTTGGACCCTTTTCTGGTAAGTACCTATCCAGTCTCTGATCGTGCATTTGGGTCGTGTTTGCTGTGGGTGCTCCAGTTCTGATAGAACTGATGCTAGCAGCATCTACGCTAACCTCTATGGGAGCAAACAGACATTTCTTACTCCCTGAACATTAAACCACGCCTATAGCTCATGCAGTAGCTGCCAGTGGTTCCTCATAAAGCACTGACTGGCTCTGGTTCAGACACAAGTGTAGCAAGGTAATGAAGTTGTTTGTGCATGTAAAAATTTCAACTTTAATAAATCTATGGAAACACACTGCTCTGTCCAGGCAATCACATCCTACTTTGATACTGATTGCTATTGCGCAAAAGTGTTAACTTGTATCTATTTCTTTTTTAATTCTTCACATTTTCTACTGCCTTGTCCTGGGAAATTCATTCATTCAAAGGATTCAGATTTAAAGGAAGTTGTGCAACTTCACAGATGGCCACGACAAAAGCAACATTAGTTATAATCTCTGGCAGTTTTCTCCTTTGACTGCATAAACCAAGCTGTGCACATTTATCGTTTCAATATCACAATAATCAATTACTAGTGGTGATATGGGAGGGGGGACCTCCAAATGTCAGACAGGAATGTGAGAGGTTTTGTCTTTGGAACAGAGTTGAAACATGTCTGAATGGTTGCTCATGCAAAAGAGCTTTAACTGGGACATTCTGCATAGACATTCCTGGATTAGTGAGAGCAAATCTGTATTTTGTAGTGAGAACGAAGTTGCACTGTTTGGGCACAACTAGAAAGTGTTGGTGACATGTGAGTTAACGTTTTGTGCAGAAAGTTTTGTGGGAGTGCACAAAATGAAACTGAAGTAATCCCAGCAATGCAATACAAAACTACACATATTCACACTTGTTTGTACGCATAAAGAAATACAACAGTGCTAGTCCACCCTGTCTTCTGCATTTGGCCATACGTTCTCATAAACCTCCCACCTCATGTGCTCTCTCACAAAGAATCTTGTTGCATGTCCGATCCATCCCTGGCAATCTTCTGCAGATATATCTACACTCCCAGCATGCATTGTGTCCAACAGAGACATCTGATCATGTGGCTGCTGGTCATAAACTTTCCACCTCCATGAGGAAAAGAATTCCTCTGTGGGGTTGAGGAATGGAGAGTAAGGTGGAAGGAAAAGTGACACCATCCTGGGATGGGCTGTAAACCGGTCTGTGACTGGAAGAGAACGGTGAAACGCCACATCGTCACATACAACTCCAAAATGTTCTGGATTCTGCTGCACTGTCCTCACCTGCTGCGAGGAATGAAACCAGACGCTCAGTGTCCCAATAAGAGTTCATGCATTCTTTCTCTTTAGACGTAGAATGCAGCTAATTTCAGTTCAATTTACAGAGTTATGTTGGTTTTGGGCAGTTTTTATAATTTTATGTCAATGGAGTGTAAATGTACACTTTTGAAAGCTGGGGTCATTGAATGCATTTTGTATCAAAGCAATGAAAAGTGATTCACTGTTTAATCCACACTGCCTGCTGCTGTGCTCACTGTGTGACAAGTTCTGAAAAGGGGAATTCAGTATTGAGAAATGCCTGTTGTTGGCAACTGTAAAAACACTGTAACTGAAACCGTCATTCATAGTACAGAATTGCAATGTTGATAGACCCACAGAGCCACCTGGTGGCTGCTGAACATAATGGCCTTCCCTCCTCATGTTTGTAGTTTTTTTATTATATTCCTGGAATTACTTTAGTTTAATTTTGTGCACTTAGATCTATTCTCTGCAAAAATGGCAAAAAAATAAAGCCAACTGAAGCATATTGCAGCATTTGATTAATTTCTGATTAAGACTCTGTTAGGCAGCACAATCCATAAAGAAGCAACCTTCTTTTTGTTGTAATGTAATCTTTCTTTTTTGTGCTAAATAAATAACAGATTCTTCAAAAACAATAGTGAGACAGATTCTGCCTGTTAATTTTTTTAAGCAATTGTTATTTGAGTGTACAGTGTTACATTTGGGAGAAAAATGTCTGTGTTTTGGTAATGGAGTAGAACTTGAGATGTATATCTCCATGATCTCTATCACTCAATATATGCGTGTTTTAGTTGTTTTAGAGCATGTTAGCTGTAGAAAAAGTTCTGTGAAGAAGCAAGAAACCAATACTACCAGGAGAACACAGTAAAACCAAATGTGGCTGAATACTCTGCGACACAGCTCCTCAGTACTGAGGAAGAACTGAAATGAATTGTAGTGACGGGCGGATGAAGCCTGTATGAGGCTTTGGGAGTTTTTTTTCTATTTGTGCTAAAAACAGATAAAAGGCTTTAGGGTCTTCAACCTCAGCAGCACAGGGACATCTGGTGGTGTGTAGAACTTACAGCAGGCCTTTGAGATGAGCTAAAGTTGTAGTCTCATATGTATGTGTGCAATAAAAGCATGTTGTTATTATTATTTTATTATTATTTTTTTATTGAGATTTTTGCAGGGATATACAACACTTATAATGGTGAGAAATACAATAGTATTTTATGATGTGCCATAGAAGAATAAAAAACATGTGTTTTGATAAACAAGTGAGCATTAAGGAAATGATCCGGATACACCCGGAACATAACAAACACGCACAGTAAGAAAACAACAACTCACCACTTAAAAGCAACTGTAAAAGAACATAAACTAATGACACACGTTAATGTTGTACATAAAAAAAAAAACAACAGCACACAAATCAAGCAACCACACACCCGAGTTTGGAATGAAAATGTACAACTCTTAATGTACTTGAGAAAGGGGCCCCAGATCTTGGAGAATGCATTGGACCTTCCTTGGAGAGAGAGTCTTGTTTTCTCTAGCTTAAGAAAACAAAGCACATCTCTAATCCAATGTACATGTGATGGAGGTTCAGGAGATTTCCACTTTATCAGGATCAGTCTTCTGACCAATAAAGAGGTGAAGGCAATTACCTTGTTTTGAGATACAGAGAAAGAGAGCAAGGACACCCCGAAGAGAGCACTGGGAGGATTAGGGTCAAGCTTTCGGCCCAGTATTTCAGACATTATGTATAAAGCATGTAAACCATTGCCCAGAAGTTAAGCAAGGATGGGCAGAGCCAGAGCATGTAAGGTTAGCAGGGGCCTGATGACACCTATCACAAGACGGGAAGGCATCATTGTATATCTTAGCTAGGTAAGGCATGTTATTTTTAGTAAAATGTCCTCCATTTATGATGATTTCTTTTGGCTCGATGATCATGAAAAACTTGAATTGTGCTTCAAGAAGAGAGCCTTTCTTGTAGCGAATGTTTTGTGCTGAGCTCGGGAGAGAAGGCAGAATATTAATCTATCATTTGTAATTTTGTAATGTATGAAACATTTGATCACTGCAACTCTATCTGCATGAAAATTAAATAAAATCAGTCAACTTACTTCTTTTAATACTAGTAATAGTGTTTGTACTGTTAGCGTTTGTTTTACACATACTACCTGTGTTATGTGATTCAACTGTTAGTTCCACTAATTCTTCCTTTCTATTTCTAAGAGAATACCAATTCAAGTTTTTCTCTTATTTTATCAGAGACTTTTCAGCTCTTTTTCTGTGGCAGCTAGTAGTTTCTGTGTGGAGTGATTTATCTGCTAAACTGCATCTATGGTTAAACATCAGTTTGATCCCTCAGGTTGAAAACAGGCGAGTCCTGCCTGGTTGTCTGTGGAAAGTTTGGGAATGTCTTAAATCAAGTCCTTAAGAAAGTCGAACTTCAAGGATGTTCTTGAATGCTCCATTATGAAACACTGCACAAAGGGCTGCTGTATGCTGATAGCATTATGGCCCAATCAATGTGCAATGCTAAAGCAATTAAAGCAATAAAATCCAATCAAGTCTTGAACATGCAGTCTAGTGTTTATGGTTGCTATAGCAACGTGTATACTCTGGCGTTGCCTAGAGACCAAGCTAGCTAACGTTAGCGTTGTTGCGCTTTGGTAAGTAGAAATCTCGTTCACTAAGGACAATAAAACCGAGACAACATTAGAGAAGCAGTTCAACCCAGCTCCTGTCCGAGTCTCCGCCGGTCATACGGACACAGCGTCCTGGCCGATTTACAGCAGGTTCCTTAACTTCAGCTCAGTAGACTTCAGCTAACAAGCTAATATAGCGTTATGTCGGAGCACGGGAACAATGAAGAGCTGGAGGTGGAGGAAGATGAGGAGGAAAACACGGAAACAACCTCCCAACCAGGTGGAGACGAGGTGCACGCTGACAGGTCGACAGGTGAGTCCGGACTGACAGGAGGGCCTAACTTATTTTATCATTATACAACTCAAAGTTGTAGAAAGTCAGTCCCACAGGGGCGGTCCCAGGATTTCTCCACTGGGGGGCACAAGTGGGGCACTGGCATATGCAGGGGTGGCATGAAGTATGTGTCTCAGCTTTCCATTCATTCACAATTTATGTAATTCCAATGCTAGGGACCCCAGTAAGCAGAAATATTCAAATCCACTAGGCGGAAATAACACATTCATACCACAGGCAAAAGACTGCATGGGAGTAGCATAAAGTGGGCGTGTCTGCAAAGGGGAGACTAGAAAATGCCTGTTTTTTCTACCCAAAACTGTAGTCTAACTTTGGAGCGTTATTTATTTACCTTCCCAACATAGTAGCATGGCATAGTTGGTACCAATGCTTTAGGTCATCTAGTTTCATATGATACCAGTATCTTTAACCGGAGCCCACTACTGCCTCTAAAACACAGTGTGGAGTGGGAGAGGAAACATACACAGGTTAACAAATAAAATAAAATATAATAAAACAATAAATGCAGTTATTTATGTGTGTATTTCTCGCGTAAGACTTCTCTGGGTCTGAGATAAGTGCATCAAGTGAAGTACAGCTTCTTAAACCTTATTTACAGCTGCAGGCCTAATTGTTTGATAAATGTATTTAAAATGGCTATCTGAGTCTAGTGTTTGACAAGAATAATATTTATTGATATTGAGATTTTCCCTGTCTTTTTGCACTGTGCAGACGTGTTGCAGACTGTAGAAGAAGCTGAAACTCAGGCTGATTGGCCCAGTGATGCCGAACAGCTTAGAGATCCTCAGAGAAAAGAAAATGTTGGGAACTCCACAGCTACAGGTAAGGCTGATTCACAAATAATAAATATGTATGTATTTTATCATCACCAGTTTACTGTCATATAACAACATATGGTGATTTGTAGCTTTACAATTTACCATATGTTGTGTGAATGTCATATGAAACAAGTTCTATCAGGCATTTTGAACATCTGCGGATTATAGTATTAACATGGAATACAGTGAGAGCAGTTGTTGCCAATGTAACAACTAATGGGGATCTATGTAATAGTAGATTTGTATGTGTTATGTACAGTATATCTGAAGAAAAGACAAGAAAAATAAAAGAAAAACTGTTATAGCAAAACAATGTTAAAACTGAGAGCAAATTTAATGGCATGTTTCTGTAAAAGAGTTATGAAAGTTATTTGTTAGAATAAACACTATTTGCGATGCTGCCAAATGAAATTCTGTTGATTTATAAATGATAGTTTTTATCTTCATCAAAACGATAATTCTGCTTCTGGCTCACTGACTGTCTGTTGACAGTGTGACACAATTCCCAAATCCATTTGTCACAGATCATTCAATTTAATTTCAGCTTTATATATTTGGGGAGTGCTAAAATATGGAGACACAATATAATCATACTGTAGCATAACAAAATAATTGTATTCTGATGTATTCTGATATTGGCAAAAAACAATTTGCAGATGAGGGGTTGGCAGATGAAGTGTTGTGAAAAGAACTATAATTTCAGTTAAAAGCAGACTGTCATGATAAAATCCCAAAACACAAAACATGACAGATTACAGCGTTAACCCGCCGTCTATGATAGAATGTCTGTGTGTGGTTGCAGTGAAGGTGGTGCTGGTGCCAGAGGGTCATGTGATGACTGTGGCCTTCGCCATCGGGCTTAGCATTAAGGAACTGAAGTGTCACCTCGCCTCAGAGCTCAGAGTTCCTGCTGAGGTGCTTCAGATCTCTCTGGAAGGTATAAACTGTCTGTTTCTCTAACAACAAATGCTGGAAGGTTTTTTCTGGCAGGTGAAGGGTTATAAGAGCGATGAGTAAACTGAAGTAACCATAGAATGTTTTAGCTACAGTTGACACAGGGAGAAACCAGAAGCAGGCTGTTTTTTTAAATTTTGGGCAAATTCAGCTTAAAACGTTTTACCACTTAATATTTCATTTTCATTTGTGGGTAGGCCTTCAGTGACCCCTTGCTTTTGATTGGCTAGTGTCTTCTGTCCCGCCCCTTTTCGCTCTGTGCTCCAATAACAGTTAAGCAACCATCAGTCGGAACCTCGGTCAACTTTCTCCTTTCTTGTTCTTAGATATGCTATTTGTTATCCTAGGTTAATTTATGTTTAATGGATGGATGGCTCAAAAATAACATTTAACATTTTAACAACTACTCTACAAAATAAAGGTTCCTCCTCTTCCACGTGTTGTTTTTCAGGCAGAGTGGTGGAGGAGGAGCAGAGCCTGATCGAACTCGGCGTCCGGCCTCATGGCTCCACCCGGATGGAGATGAGCTCCACCGACCCGACCACCCCACTCCGTCCCCTTCGTCCCCCAGAGCAGGACAACATGCAGGACGTCATTACCGTCCGTGTCCAAACAGGTGTAAACACCCTCTCCTCTGTTCTGTCCACTACAAACTGTATGTGTGTGAGTGTCTGCTGGATGTGGAAGCAGCTGTTTGCCAACATGTCAGCCACAATAACTGATGGTTTATCAGTGTTTATCAGTGCTGTCTGTCAGAAATCCCTTAATGCAGCTTAAAATGAATTGTTGGAAGATTATCTTATCTCTCTGACTTCCAGATGAGGGCGAGTTCCAGGAGGTGGTGGTGGAGATTGAGCGTCCCCGCCAGTGGAAGCCCTTTCTGGGCGGCTACAGACACCGGCTGACTGGTATAGAGTACCACCACGCTGCTGTCCAAACCCTGCACATTAGGAGACCTGACAGAGGAGTGGTTGTCTTCAGCCGTGACACACAGGTACAGTACGGTATAAATACAAATATCAGTGTTAGTCACTAAGTTATTCTAACTAGTTTCAAACCAGTGATTTACTAAATCAGATTACGCCTTTAGGATTAGATTGATGTGTTTGGTCAATGAGCATTACCAGTTTTTCTTTCACATGTTGTTTTTATAGTCAGGATAAATCTTGTAAATCTGACTCTTATTAGGCTGGTGAGCCACAGGTATGGTCTCATTGTGTATGCTGATGATTTGACCAGGAGAGGTTCATGTCCATCACAGCGTTGAAATTATCTAACAGACAGTCA